AGGGACCTGCGGACAGGGAAGTGGCCGTCAGCCGAGTGCTCCCCTACCTCCCACACGCAGGGGTGCAGGTGCCCGACCCCACCAACCAGGCGGGATCCTGTGAGCCCCTGGTGGTCCACGGGGAAGGGACATGCACACCCCCCGGACGTGACCACCGGGCACACCAGGAAGGCCCTGATGCCCCCACTTAGTGGCGCCCCCCGCAGGCCCCAGGCTCAGGGCTGCCTGGGAGGCACCAACCGAGGCCCACCCACTCCCCCTAGCTGCCCCTAGCTGCCACACCCGTGGGCTGCCATGGAGATGAGGGGCTTGGGGGCCGGACGCATGGAGACCAGCCGGCCTCCAGAATCTACAAGGGCATGGGGCTTTACCCCTCGGGGCAAATTTCAGCAGCAACTTGTTTATGCAAATTGAGCTTAATTCTGTGTCAGCTTGGACTCTGCTTGTAGTGCTGTCACTGTGGAGTCCCCGCTACCTGCACCCCACTGGCAAGTCTGGGCAAAGGGGTGCTGGCTAGCCCCATGTGCACATCGCCGCGACCTGAAGACGCCCCCAAGAGCAGGGGCCTCCGTGAGGAGGTGCCACTCGGGCCCAGCGGAGGGCTGGCTGAAACGGCAAGGCGAGGGCAGAGGCCCAGACCCTGTGGCACCTGTCCTCGGTGCCCGCTCAGGCCCAAGCTCTGCAGGTCTCTCCCCTCGGAGGCTCTCGGACCCCACCTCCACCTCACGCAGAAGGGGGTGGCACCGGGGACTGTGGTCTGATGCGTGAGTGCCGAGGGCGGCTGGGCCGGCCTGGGTGTCCGAGCACACGGGCACCACGGCAGACCTGCTCTCGGGCACGGCCCAGCCCTACCACTCAGCTCTGCCCCCCCAGGCCTCGATCTCTCCATCTGCAAGTTGGGAGTAAGTCCTGCCAGCCTGCAGCCTCTGAGGGCCCGCTAGAGAAATAACGTGTGCAAGTGAGCGGCGCCCAGGGGACCCGAAGCTGCAGTGTAAGTACAAACGCCAGGCGGGGAGCGCTGAGGCCGCCGCTCGCTGGAGGCACTTAACCCAGTTTCCTTTAATTAAAATTCAAGCTCACAAACACCGATCTTGGCGGGGACAGGTCCCACCAAGGGGCCTGGCCACTCAGCCCCGGCTGTCCGTGCCCCACAGGCTCCAGCTGCCCTGC